AGCAGCGGCTCCTCCAGCCGCTCCAGCAGCTCGTAGATGGAGTAGATGTTCGGATGGACGGACTCGAACCTCTGGATCTCAGAGCGGATGGCGGCCGAGTTGGCCACATGCAGCTGGTAGTTCATCCTGGAGGACTTCCTGCTCCTCAGTTAAAGCGAGTGGCGTCAATAATCCCGGAGAAACAATAATCCCGGAGAAACAGGTTCTGGATTACATCCCTGGAGGACTGGCTCCGGGAGGCATCAGCTACAGTCCGGGGAAGGCTGCTGCTGCGGCGGCTTCCCGGGCGGCGGAGCTCCGCTGCTCCATAGCCTTCCAAGGCCGGCCTGGATGAACGGAGGCTGGGATTAAACTGGACTACCAGCGGAACCGGGACTCATTTCTGCCCGGAGGAGGAGGCCTGCCGCTGCTGCTAGCTGGCTAAAGCTAACTAGCTGTAGCTTCCAGCAGGAAAACCGGGAAACGTCACCGAATTCCAGCCGGGAAAGTCGGCCTCACATCCGAGCAGAGAGCGGGATAACCTGGGAACAGCTGCGGGAACCGAGCTCTGGAACCTGGGGAGAACAATCAGTCCGCGGCGGTGCTTCGGCTCCCTCCTCCTGGGTTTGTCTCCTTCTCCGGATCAGCTCCTCGGTGCTGCGGATGAACCGGAGCGGGCGGAGGCGGCGGGAGGAGCGGGAGGTTTAGAGGAGCCCCGGCGGCTCTTAGAGGAGGATGGGATGGATGCGGGATCAGAACCCAGAACCTGGACTGGCCCGCTCCCTCCGGATGGACCCAACAGACAGATTCCCAGCCGGGATTTCCTCCAGGACGGTCAGCGATGACCAAATAAGGACATCCGGTTTGACCCTTCACAGTAAAGCACAGATTCGCGTCAAGTGACTTTAATTCGCTTTGATTCAATTTATCAACAACAACAAAAAATCTGAAGAGCTCAACTAAAAAATAATTCATTTAACTCACTTTATTCCAACTTTATAAATATTTATTTCTAATTACAATCAGTTTA